AACGCCCACCTCGCCGCACGCCTGAAACCGCGCGCGCGAGTTCGCGGACTGCGCCTGCGCGAAACCCGAGGCGGCTCGGGGACTGAGACCCCGAGGAGAGTTGGGTACGCGGCTGCGACTGGCCTCGGGGTAACGCCGGCCAGGCAGGCCGGGGGCAGGGAGCGGTGCGAAGGCCCGGGCGGAGTTCACCGCTGCGGACACTTCGAATGAGTCTCTGTTTGATCCTCGCCGGAGCTCCGGACTGGAGCCGAGACAGGGCAGGCAGCGTCAGACGGGTAAACCGAGACGCTGAAGGCCCGCGTGGAGGAGGCAGAGTTGGCCTGGGAGTGCAGGTGGGCGTCGGAAGAAGGGCGGGTCCCGCCGAGGGAGGACTGCCATAGCCGATCTCTCGTTACGGGACTTTTAACCTGGCTGGGCTAATGAACTAGGTAGGAAGAAAAGGACACCCGTACTTTCTCCACATGAAATTTAGCGTTTCCTTCTCGGATTGACTGGCCAGAGGAGCAGCGTTAGCACAGTGCCTGAAACGAAATCGTCGTAATTTCTAGCGGGGGCGAGTGGGATAGTTCGAGATGGTTTGTGCGGCGACTGCACGGTGGTATCTCCAGTTACTGTTTACACCCATTCCTGCGTTGAAGTTAGGATAAGATGTTTTATATAATGCGCCGAAAAAGAACCACCTGTACTAATATAGCAGAAATTTGTTTTTAAAACATTTTGATACCTAATTCAGTAGCATTGGGGCTTGGGGAGATTATTTTGGCAATTTTATGAATTTTAATGAACACATGTAAACATCATGCTTGTAAGGAGTGACCTTGCTAGATGCAGAATGGTCAAGGCCTTCTGCACTAGTGTCATCGAGGTACTGATTAGGAGAGACTGTCTATAGGTTGCATGGACCTGGGTTCAAAGCCAGTCAGCCCAAGCTGGCCAGGCTTGTCCCCTGCACTGCTGCAAAACCCCAGCAAGTCTCTTTCCTCCCAGAGCCTCAGGTATTAATCTGTTCAATCTGCCATCGCCCCTAGGTGTTTCCAATGGTGACCCCGCTAATACAACCAGACTTTAAAATATTCTTATGCTATAAGCTGACCATTCTGATTTTTTTTATTAATGAGTTTAATGCGTGCCGGCCAGAATCTTTAATTCACCACTATCCACTAGAAATGTAATGCAAACACATCTGTGGTTTTATTTTATTTTTTTGAGTTGGAGTCTCACTCTGTCGCCCAGGTTGGAGTGCAGTGGCATATTCACAGCCACCCCAGCATTGACCTGCTGGGCTCAGGCGATCCTTCCACCTCAGTCTTCCAAGTGTTAAACCCAAATTTCAAAATCCGAGAGACCACCAAAGAGCCAGCTCTGATGCAAACACACAAGGGTCTTTATTCAGGCTCA